CCCCGCCCCCGCCGTGGGCGCGGACCTGGGCGCTCGCACGTGCGGGCTCGCCCGCGGGTGGCGGTGCGTGGGGCTCCGGCCCGAGTACCCCCGCTACCGTCGCTCGGGCTTCCCGCTACCCCGCGCCTGCCAGCTCTCCTGGTGCCAAGGACCCCCGTCCGCGCGCCCCGGGTCTCGGGCTCCTCTTTCCGAGTTCCGTGTCCGGCTTCCGAGGCAGGCGCGCTCCTACTCGCCACCACTGGGAAGGTCAGCGCCGGATGGGGGCGGCTGTGTACCCAAGCCCCAGACCTCCGCCTGGGTGATGCTCCGTGGGTGGAGGGCCTCCCACCAACCCGATCCCCCAGGCCCACCCTTTCTGAGGTGCCCTGTGCAGGGGAGGTGGCCCCGCCTGTGGGTTCTGAGAGCAGCCTGGCGTGCCCACCTGCAGAGACACCCAGTGCCAGGTGCCCTACCTTCAGCAGCCTCATGGGCCTGCTGGGCTTCTGTGAGATTTCTCCTGGTGGATGGAATAGAATAAACCCCACCCCCACGGTGGCTGAGGGTGCACCCTCGGGCCAATTGCCTGGCAAGTCTGGGTTCGTGGGGGCAGCCTGGCCTGGCCTGGTCCTCCATCTTTCCATCTCCTCTCCTAGCTGCGAACATCCACAAAAGATTGTCCACCACTTTTGGTCACTTCTCTCTACACAGTCATCAACACAGGTGCCCGTCAGAATATCGATGAAAGTCCTGGCAGTAACCTCGGTAGGTTCCTCTGCCCAGAGCCCTCCTCCCTGCAATGAAATATCATTCCTGACCCCTGTCCAGATACAGCCCAGTTCCTCTACTGGGGTCCCAGACTTGTGTTTCCTGCACTCCAGCATTTGGGATTGATAAGTACTTTCAGATACTTCATGTCTAGCCCCTTCCCCATGGGACAGACCCAGTCCCCGGGCTTCCAGAGACAGACTGACATTCCTGACTCCCACTCTCCTCTGTGGCCCAGTCTCCACACAGAAGCTTTCCCCTGCAGTGGCTGCTATTCAAAGCCAGAGGCCCAGCTGCCCAGCTGGGCACCAGGAGCTGCACCACAGCCTGCACTGGACTGATCCTGTGGGGTGCTGAAGTGAGGGAGCAGGAGGGCTAGGTGGAACAGGACAGAGTGCCAGGCTGCTGGCCGCCGGCGGGAAAGTTGAGACCAGGGTGGTTAGAGTGCACAGGGATTCCTCAGAGAGCCAGCCCCTGCCAGCCCCTAGCGTGAGGTCCAGTCTGTCCAGGACTCAGGGAGGGCCTTCCCTTCCCTGCCTCCTCTCTGCCTGCCAGTTGCCCCACCCAGGTTCCATGCACACCTCCTGCCTCTGAGGGATTGGGGGTGGCTTCCAAAGAGGGGGCATGGGAGTTCTTATGGAGGAGGAAGTTGGGTCTTGGGGACAGAGTGCCTGACCAGATCCATCGCTGCACTTCCCACCATGGCTGCCCTGCAACTCGGAGAGAACAAGAGAGGGCCTGGGAGTGAAAAACAGGAGCAGAGGGCCACCCCTGCAGTCCCAGTGCTGCAGGCTGAGGCGGGAGGGTGAAAGAAAAAGGGCTGGAGGTGTAGCTCAGCGGCAGAGCCCTCTAGGTTTAACCTCCAGGGGCTGTAAGGGAAAAAGTTCAAGGGCTGGGGATGTGGCTCAAGGGTAGCGCGCTCGCCTGGCATGCGTGCGGCCCGGGTTCGATCCTCAGCACCACATACCAACAAAGATGTTGTGTCCGCCGAGAACTAAAAAATAA